CCTCCAGCAGTCCCAGAATCTCCAGCAGCACCAGGAGCACCGCCAGGCGGACCGCCAGGGACAGTCTCAGCGCCAACACCCTCAGCAGCACCAGCTCCAGTCGAACCCGCAGGCCCAGCAGCTCCAGTACTCCCAGTACGAGCACCTCCGGGACCCGCGGCAGCAGCACCCTCAGCAGCCGAAGAACCTCTAGCACCAGCAGCACGCCTCCAGCGCCGGGCAAACCACTCACGCAGCTCCTGTGGGGAGAGTGGCTCCCGGCGAGACGAAGCACCCGGAGAACCTCCAGGCGAAGAACCTCCAGGCTCAGCACCCCCAGGCAAAGCACCGCCAGGCATAGCACCTCCAGTCTCAGCACCCCCAGGCTCAGCACCCCCAGGCTCAGCACCCCCAGGCTCAGCACCCCCAGGCTCAGCACCCCCAAGCTCAGTACCCCCAGGCACAGCACCCCCAGGCTCAGCACCCCCAGTCTCAGCACCCCCAGGCTCAGCACCCGCAGCAGCACCAGAGTCACCAGTGACCTCGACAGGCTCGACCGCGTCTACCTGGGACACACCTGAAGGGGCAGGACCTTGAGGGGGGAGGGGGTCTACCGGGGGGGGACCTGGTACCAAGAAGAGCGGGGGCGGGGGGAGGGACGGAGTGCGGTAGGGGAAGAGGCGGTAGTAGGGTACCGACTCGTCGAACGTGACGTCCTGGGAGGACAGAACACGGCGAGAGGTGGGGTGGTAGAACTGCCACCCAGGGGCGTCGGGGGGGAACCCCAGGAAGACGCAGGGAGCAGCGCGAGGGGACAGCTTGTCCGCAGACAAGTCGCGGACAAACGCCCGAGATCCCCAGACCCGGAACGCCGACGCATCGCCAACCTTCCCGGTCCACAGCAGGGCTGGGGAGGTCTCCGGCCTGGAGACCCTGGGGTGGAGGTTGATCTAATGCGCCGCGTACCTGACCGCAAACAGCCACAGAAAATGGGGGGGAGCCGCATGCATCATAGACGTACGAGCGACGTCCATGACCATGCCAATGCGGCGCTCTGCAATCCCATTTTGCTGCGGTGAGTCCGGAAGCATGAAGGTCTGGCGGATGCCTCGCGCACGACAGTAGGCACGCAGAAGGCCAGAGGAGAACTCTCCGCCTCTGTCCGAGTGCAGACGCAACACAGGAAAGTCCGAGCCAAAGCGCTGCCTGAGCTGGAGACGAGCTACGCGGATCCAGTCGATCAGCACCTCAGTGACATCACCCTTGCTGCGCAAGGGGAAGACTGTGGTGTAACGCGAGTAGTCGTCAACCACCAACAGGAAGTAGCACTCGTGACCGAGTCCACGGACGCGGGCAGGGCCCCACACGTCCATGTGAAGCGTCTGCAACGGAGCCTCTGTCGGAGGAAACTGGGAGGAGTGAGGGGCAGCACGCTGGCGCCCCTCGACACAGGGGACACAGGCAGGGCCAGGGCCCTGAGGAAGGGGAGGGAGAGACCGGGGAAGACCAGACACAAGAAGACGGGAGACCATGCCTCTGAGCCGAAGCAGAGAGGGGTGACCCAGGCGGTGGTGCCAGAGGAGAGTCTCGTGAGACAGGCGACGACACAAACAGGGGGCGGACTCAGGACCAGACCTGGACGCTGCAGCAAACACCTGACCAGACGAAGGGACCCTTCCAGACTCAGCAACTGGAGGAGAAGCAGTGGTCAGTGTGTACAGGCTCGACCTTGGCTGACGTGTAAACGTAGCCAGGTGACGACCTGTGCTAGCCTCTGTGCAGTGCGTCACTCGCTGACGAGCAGGGGTGAACTGGTGGACTCCCGCATCCTGTAGGTCAGCACCACTCACCAAGTTCGTAGAGAACGAGGGGAGGTAGAGACCAGACAGGGTGCCAGAGGGAGCCGCCGGACACGGGAGGATTGTGGAGAAGCGAGACAGAACAGGACCCCCAGAGGGGTCAGCCAGGGACACCGCAACCGGCCGACTAAGCGGCGTGAGTGTGGTGCGGTCCCGAAAGAAGGAGCGAGACGCTCCAGAGTCAAGGGTGAAGGTGTGGGAGGCCGAAGCCGACGCAGTACCTGAGAGCGCAGACTCACTAGTACCTGAGAGAGCACCCTCACCAGTACCTGGGACCACAGACGCACTGGCACCTAGAGCAGAAGCCTCGCTGGCACCTAGAGCAGCAGTACCAATGCCCGGGTCGGGCGGGAAACACCGGTAACAGTCACCCTCATCACTAATGGTCACAGCATACATGGCAGCAAGGATAGCATCAAAGTCAAGATCAAAGATAGCTACACCAGCCCTAGACAGCTCTTCCCAGCGGGGGATCTCCGCGGCCTCCGGGAACTGCTGGCGCCAAGCGTCCGTCAGGCGGCCAAAGCAGCGCTGGGCGGTGTGGGTACCCCCACACTGCTCTCCAGCGCGGTCGCCAGTGCGAAGAACGTAGGTGCAGGGACCAAAACCCCCACCACGCTGACGCTGCGTGTACCACTCACGGAGCTGCTGAGGGGTGGGGACGTCGCGAGAACGCTGCTGCTGCTGCTGCTGCTGGCGCTGACCACCCCCAGTGCTGCTCCGCTGCGAAGCGCCACTCCGAATACCTCCACCACCGCCACCCCCGCCTCCGCCTCCACCGCCCCCGCCACCGCCTCCACCGCCGCCGCCTCCGCCACCTCCGCTCCCACCGCCACCGCCGCCGCCACCCCCGCCTCCACTGCCGCCACTAGCACCCCCACCCCCGCCACCACCTCCACCGCCACCCCCACTCCCTCCGCCGCCTCCACCTCCACCTCCACCGCCCCCGCCGGCCCCACCCGCTCCCTTGCCCCCCTTGCCCTTGCCAGAGCGGCGTCTCCCGCTAGGGGCAGACGCCGCACCGACCGACTCAAGACCAACGAGGTCGGCCGCAGCGGCAGAGGCGCCAGAGGGCAGGAGAGGGGAAGGAGAACACCCCTCAAAGATGGGGGCGCGGGGGTCACCTCGAGAGGCTCCTACAGCGACTATGCTCTTCTCCGCCGCTAGGAGGGCCTTCTCGAGGCTGTCGACTGTGAGGGTGGTGGGACAGACCGCGAGGAAGTGGTCCCGGACTACACGAAGGGAGTCAGGGAGACGGGTGACTAGAAAGTAGAGGGTGATGTACATGGGAGGGGGGTTTGCGGCGCAGAAGTCAGCAGGAAGCGCAGCTCGGTAGCGAGTGTCACTCGCGCGGAGGTGGGTAAAGAGGTCAGCGACTGTGGGAAAGGCAGCAAGGTCAGGGAAGAGGTACGGTAGCATGAGGCGGCTCAGTGTAGCAGAGGAAGGGGAAGAGTAGCGCGCAACTACAGCGTCGTACAAGGCCTGAGCACTCTTGCACTGACTAAAGTGAGCACGCTCGGAGGAAGGGAGGTGGCGACGCACAGCAAGACGTGCAGCAGCATCGCGGGTGGCCCACTTGGAGCGAACAGTGGGGTCAGCATCAGCAGGAGGGGCAGGGACAGCTCCAGAGGTAAAGTCAAAGAGAGAAATGTCGTCTACTGAATCGCACTGCAAGTACAGTTGCAGGTCATCGAGCCAGACCGCAAAGTCAATGGCGCGACCCTCAGCGTCAAAAGCCAGGACAGTAGGGGTGGCCATGACAGCAGCGACAGTCTCACCAGACAGGAAGGGTCGGGCAGCTCAGCAGCACAGCAGTACGGCAGCACGGCAACTCCGCCGGCCCAGGAGCAGCAGCAACCCCACAGGAGCAGAAGCTCGGCACCCCAGGCGGCTCGGGCGGCTCGGGCGGCTCGGGCGACTCGGGCGGCTCGGGCGGCTCGGGCGGCTCGGGCGGCTCGGACACTCAGCGGCACGGGCGACTCGGGCGGCGCTGCTGCTCGGGCGGCTCATGCGGCTCGGGTGACGCGGGTGGCATGGGCGGCGCGGGCGTCGTGGTGGGCGGCTCACGGGCGGCTCGCGGGCGGCTCACGGGCGGCTCACGGGCGGCTCACGGGCGGTTGCGGGCGGCTCACGGGCGGCTGAACGGGCGGCTGCACGGGCGGCACGGGCGGCTCACGGGCGGCTGCACGGGCGGCTCACAGACGGCTGCACGGGCGGCACGGGCGGCTCACGGGCGGCACGCTGGGCGGCTGCACGGGCGGCACGCTGGGCGGCTGCACGGGCGGTTGCACGGGCGGCTGCACGGGCGGTTGCGAGGGCGGCTGCACGGGCGGCTGCACGGGCGGCTCACGGGCGGCTGCACGGGCGGCACGTCGAGCAGCTGAGGGCGGCCGCACGGGCGGCACGTCGGGCGACAGCACAGGCAGCTGCACGGGCGGCTGCACGGGCGGCTCGTCGGGCGGCGCACAGGCAGCTGCATGGGCGGCGCGTCGGGCTGCTGAGGGCGACGTACGGGCGGCTCACGGGCGACGCGCGGGCGGCTCACGGGCGACGCGCGGGTGGCTCGTCGGGCGGCTAGCGGGCGTCGAGCGGCTAGCGCGGGCAGCGACGGGCGGCGCTCAGGCTCTAGGGCGGGCGGCGCTCGGGCTCCAGGGCGGGCGGCGCTCAGGCTCTAGGGCGGGCGGCGCTCAGGCTCTAGGGCGGGCGGCGCGCGGGCGTCTAGGGGCCGTTAGGGCAGATCAAAAAAAAAAAAAGGAAGAGAAAGGGCCCGGAGCGCGCTCCGGGCAGAAAAACAATTCGAGGGAGTGGTGGTGGGCCCTAAGCACAGTTCCCACAGGGGAACCTGCTCGATACCATGAGAAGAAGTGAACGAGAATGAGATGACTATGAACGAAGTGAGTACAAATAGGAAACCGTAATTGGGTTGTACCCCCTATGGGATACCCCACTATAGCCTACACAAATAAGTAAGCTATAATGTTATGACAGCGCGGCCCTTCTTTGCCGCCCTGTCGCGGCTCTGTTCCTGCCGGCGCACCTCGGCCTTGCCCCACCGCTTGCGGGCCTCTACCCACCCGCCCCTAGTAAGAGCACCGCCGAGCCGCGCCCCTCCTGCTGCTAGCGTGCTGCTGCTGCTGCTGCTAGCCTGCTGCTGCTGCTGTCATGGCTACCCCCAATGCTCTCACCTTTGATGCTGAGTGTCGGGCTGTCGACTTTGAGGTCTGGGTCGATGATCTGCAGCTTTTCCTGCAGTGCGATAGAAAAGATGGTCTCTCACTGTTCGATCTCACGTGTGGCGCCTTTGCTGCCCCTACTGCCGATACTGACAGTACTGTTCGCTCACAGTGGGCCACACGCGATGCTGCTGCCCGTCTTGCTGTGCGTAGTCACCTGCCGTCCACTGAGCGCGCACACTTTAGTCAGTACAAGAGTGCTAAGACCTTGTACGACGCTGTAGTTGCACACTACTCTTCCCCTGCCACTGCTGCCCTTAGTCGCCTCATGCTGCCGTACCTGTTCCCTGACCTCGCAGCCTTTCCCACAGTCGCTGATCTCATTACGCACCTTCGCACTAGTGACACCCGCTACCGCGCTGCGCTTCCTGCTGAGTTCTGCGCCAAGAACCCCCCCCCCCCCCACCCTTTGTACATCACCCTCTACTACCTAGTCACCCGGCTCCCTGACTCCCTTCGCTCGCTCTGGGACCACTTCCTCTCTGTTTACCCCCCACACTCACCGTTGACCTCCTCGAGGAGCGCCTCCTTGCAGCTGAGAAGAGTATAGTCGTTATAGGAGCCTCTCGTGGTGACCCTCGTGCCCCCTTCTTTGAGGGGTGCTCCCCCTCCCCCCTTTTGCCCTTTGTTGCCTCTGCTGCTGCTGTCGACCTCGTTGGCACCGAGTCGGTCGGAGATGCGTCTGCCCCTAGCAGGAGACGCCGCAACGGCACGGGCAAGGGGGGCAAGGGCGCTGGAGGAGCTAGCGGGGGCAGTGGAGGTGGCGGTGTAGGCGGCGGAGGGGGTGGGGGTGGCGGTGGGAGTGGTGGCGGGGGTGGGGGCTTCGGTGGCGGCGGTGGGAGTGGTGGCGGGGGTGGGGGCTTTGGTGGCGGCGGTGGAGGCGGAGGCGGCGGCGGCAGTGGCGGTGGGAGCGGAGGAGGCGGCGGTGGCGGCGGTGGCGGCGGCGGCGGTGGAGCTGGTCGGGGTGGCTCTGTGCAGCGGGGCGGCTTCGGTGGTGGTCAACGCCAGCACCAACAACGCACTTGTGAGACCCCGCCCCCCCAGCAGCTTCGTGAGTGGTACGCTGCGCGCCAGCGGGGTGGGGGTGCTGGTCCCTGTGCCTACGTCCTGCGTACCGGCGATCGCACTGGTGAGCCGTGCGGTGGCCCGCACACCACCCAGCGCTGCTTCGGCCGCCTGACGGACGCCAGGCGTCTCCAGTTCTCTGACGCCACTGAGATCCCTCGCTGGGGCGAGCTGCTTAGGTCGGGGGTTGCTATCTTTGATCTTGATTATGATGCTATTCTTGCTGCCATGTATGTTGTGTCTACTAGTGATGAGGGTGACTGTTACCTGTGTGTTCCGCCTGACCCGGGCATTGAGGCTGCTGCTCTAGGTGCTGGTGAGGCTGCTGCTCTAGGTGCTAGTGCGTCTGCTACTCCAGGTGCTGGTGAGTCTACTGCCCTAGGTGCTGGTGAGTCTGCTCTCTCAGGTACCACGTCGGCTCAGGCTTTGCACACTTTCACCCTTGACTCGGGTGCTTCCCGCTCCTTCTTTCGAGACCGCACCACACTCACGCCGCTTAGTCGGCCGGTTGCAATCTCGCTGGCAGACCCCTCTGGGGGTCCTGTCCTTGCCCACATCTCCACTGTCTTACCGTGTCCGGCGGCCCCTTCTGGCACCCTATCAGGTCTTTACCTCCCCTCGTTCTCTACAAACCTGGTGAGTGGTGCTGATCTATAGGATGGGGGGGTTGACCAGTTCACTCTTGCGAGTCAGCGAGTGACCCACTGTATGTGTGCTCGGACGGGCCGACACTTGGCCACGTTTACCTGTCAGCCGGGGTCGAGCCTGTACACACTGACTACTGAGTCTCCTCCGGCTGCTGAGTCTGGTCAGGTAGCTGCGTCGGGTCAGGTGTTTGCTGCAGCGTCCAGGTCTGGTCCTGAGTCTGCCCCCTGCTCGTGTCATCTCCTGTCTCACCAGACTCTCCTCTGGCACCACCGCCTTGGTCACCCCTCCCTGCCTCGTCTCCGAGGCATGGCCTCCCGTGTCCTTGTCTCTGGTCTCCCCCGGTCCCTCCCTCCTCTTCCTCCAGGGCTTGCCCCTACCTGCGTTCCCTGCGTCGAGAGGCGGCAGCGCGCCGCTCCTCACTCCTCCGAGTTTCCTCCGACAGAGGCTCCGCTGCAGACACTTCACCTGGACGTGTGGGGCCCCGCCCGCGTCCGTGGACATGGTCACGAGCGTTACTTCCTGCTGGTCGTTGACGACTACTCGCGTTACACCACACTCTTGAACCCTCTAGCAACCATCGCTCCCTCCTTTGCCGTGCACGTTGTGGGCTCGCTGCACACAGCCGCGCATAGCTCCACTTCAGTTGGCCGTCACTGTTAGCTCTTCAGAACGCCCCCATCCTCCAACAACCATCTCGAATGGTCCTTGCATTGATTAAGGGGTGGTACAATGGAAGATGCAAACACATGCAACAACCATCTCTCTCTCTCCTCCGTCCTGCAGGCTGTGGGCTCCCTGCGCTTTGGGCTGCCTACGCAACCCATTTCAGCTTGTCCTACCTGGTGCAGACTATCCCCTTTCAATCTCTCGTACCCTCGAACAACTGACTCTCCTCCACCCTCCCAGCAACAACCATCTGTCTCCTGCCCGGCAGGTTGTGGGCTCTCTGTGCTTTGGGCTGCATCTTGAAACAGGCTCTGACGAAAGAGCAGGGGAGCACGAAGGGGAGCAAGGGGGCCGCTCATCGCCCCACTTCAGCTTGCCTTACCTCGTTTGGGCTAAGCCCTACCAATCTCCCCCCACCCTCCAACAACTGTCTCTCCCATGCTCAGAAGGTTGTGGGCTCGCTGCGCTTTGGGCTGCATCTTAACACAGGCTCTGAAGAAAGAGCAAGGGAGCACGAAGGGGAGCAAGGGGAAGAGCGTGTGGGGTTGGGGCGGGGAAGCGAGTGGAGGAGGCAGCACGCACAGCGCCTCCTAACCCCTCTGCGGCTCTCGTTTGCGGTTGAAGTGAGCCCTTTCCATGCTCCTCCATCTTTTTCTCTTCGCAAGTTTTCAATTGCATGTCACAACACATGCACGCAGCACATGCACCCGGCACATGCACGCAGCGGCTCATCATAGCCCCTCTCTGGCTCGCCTTTGCCGTTGAAGTGAGCCCTCGCCATCTCTCACTTAGTGACCTCCTTCCCGCCAACCCTCTGCCTCTCCTTGATGATTCTTGCCCTTCCCATGTGCTCCCTCTCGCGCTCCGCTGCTTCCTTTGCAAACCATCTTGCTCCACCGTCAACCTTCCATCCACTCGAACCTCTCTCCATCCATCCCAACCCCGCCCTCTCTCTTCTCTGACTCCTGCAGACTCAGTAGTCTATCAGGGCAGCACAAGGCAGCTACACGTGGCACTACTCCCTCTCCCAGCCATCATCCACATCAGCATCCTCCACGTCAGCATCCTCCACGTCATCCAGCAAGCCTAACAGTGCTTCATCCTACTCGGTTCCTCCCAATGTTGCTGTCATCATGATGCAGGTAACAATCATCGTGCATGCAGGCAAGCACTGTGTTGTGTTGTAAGAGGCGCCTCGACATCAGTGTGTATCATCCGTACTTAACACTGTTGAGACGCGTCAACATTCGTGCTGCACACATTAATCTTCCACTATTTATTATCGCTTCACCTACCTTTCGCTAACGATAATCTAGGCACTTCAGCAAATAATCGTCCACTCCACTCCATCACTCCTCTGCCCTCCCTTCTTCAACCTCCCACACCACTTATAGTTGATCCTTCATCCATCAGCACCCCCATATTCTCACCACTAGCATAGGTGGAGGAGCTTTGAGAACGCTGTGTTGTATGCTCCATCAGAATTCTATACTGTGCCATGCCGTGCTGTGCTGTGCTGCAATGCTACTAGTTGTTCCGTTTATCTCAAACGCGCTTGTGCCACTGTCACATGTGCAAGAGCTCTCACCAAGCACGGTTGTCTTGAGACTAGCTCACATGTATCAAGTGAGTCCCACACTCACTCCCTCTCACTCATTCTCTCCTCACTCACACCTCTTCCCTCACACACTCCTCGTCCGCACTCGCGCTCCTCCCTCTCTCACACCCCTGCCTCACTAGTGCCCTTTACTCACTCAAATCCCCCCCCAGTCGGCCTTCCATCCATCTTGCCCTGCCGTACTGCACCGCTTCCAATCCTCTCAAAATCTCACCGTCCTCTCCTCTGCATTGCACTGCACCACTTGCACTCCACTCCCCACTTACACTCTACACACGCCCTCATACCTCCCTCACCATTGTACTGCCCTTGTATTCCTTCTTTCCGCCAAGATTTCATTCTCAATAATACCTCCCTCGAACTCGGCAAGGCCTCCTAGTTTCAGGAGACCCAAAGCCCACCTCCTTCACTGCCTTATGTGTGTCTGCTTCCCTGTCTCATCTGCTTCCCTGTCTCATCTGCTTCCCTGTCTCATCTACTTCCCTGTCTCATCTACTTCCCTGTCTCATCTGCTTCCCTGTCTCATCTGCTTCCCTGTCTCATCTACTTCCGTGTCTCATCTACTTCCCTGTCTCATCTGCTTCCCTGTCTCATCTGCTTCCGTGTCTCATCTGCTTCCGTGTCTCATCTGCTTCCCTGTCTCATCTGCTTCCCTGTCTCATCTGCTTCCCTGTCTCATCTGCTTCCCTGTCTCATCTGCTTCCCTGTCTCATTTGCTTCCCTGTCTCATCTGCTTCCCTGTCTCATCTGCTTCCCTGTCTTATCTGCTTCCCTGTCTCATCGGCCTCCCCCTCCCTGCCCCATCTGCAACTGCAGCCCGGGGAGCATGCTGCCTGGTCGCGTCCAGCTCAAGTGGACCTCCGAAGATTGTTTGCAGCAAAACAGGTAGATAGTCTGGTCGCCCTACCTTTTCAACAGGTAGATAGTCTGGTCGCCCTACCTTTTCAACAGCTCTAACACGCTCTTGGTTTAAAACCCTTAATAGTTGCCTCTTTCTGACATGTAACTGGTCACCCTACCTGCGTTCTGACTTGCTCTCAAACCCTCTCTCGCACACACCTCTTCACACACCGCTTAGTGATTCAACCACAGTTGCGTGCATACATAATATTTTGTGAGTGAGCTGACCAGGAATCATACAGCAGTCAATCTCAGAAACCCCTAGAATGCTAGCTTCAAATTTCAACCCTACTATCCAGCCTCAGAGCGTGTAATTGCTTTCCATCCCTTACCAAGATCACACCCATCTCATCCCCCCCATGTTACTTCCCTTACTGTCACATTCCCACCCACCCCTAGCAGATACATGAGGTGACAGAACTGAGTCTGATGGCCAATCAGAAACAAGCAGACATGCGACAGCCTCTTTCCTGGCGAGTGGAGGGCGAGGAGGGAGTTGAGGGAGCAGGTGATGAAAATAGGTCGGCTCGAGAATCGTTCCTTGATCCTGCTTCTCTTGTTGTGGAGTTGGGGCCTGCAAAAATTCGCACATTTTCAATCCGGCTGCAAGGTAGTACATGAGTATTTAGTCGAAAAAATCTTGTGTACCATATCAATTGAAATATCATGTTGCATTGCGCTCTACTTTGCCTTTGTGCTTTCAAAGGGCCCTCTACCATGTCTATTATTGTGGCTATTTCGTACCGCATAATTAAGCATCTGTCAGAAGTACGAAACAGGAATGATTGACTGGAATGACAGTTGGGTACAAATAGGTCAAAACCTAACCCTAGAATTGTGTACCCCCTATAGGCTAACCCACTGTAGCCTAAACTAACACAACATATATAATGTTTGACACACCCCCATAGGCAAAGTGGGGGAGATCTAGGGGTCACAAGACCAGTCAATGCAATGCAAGGCAAGACAAGCTCAGGGTGGATCTCAAGGATACCACACAAATTCTGAGCACAAGCAAGTGGTCACAAGACCAGTTCACATGCAGGTTTATAATAGAGCAAAAGGTACAATGATCACAACCTAACAAGAGTAAACATGCAGGTATATATATAGAGATCACAGTACAAACAGACTCAAGAAGTAAGCAAGTGAGGTCCAGTAGGCACAAGGCCTAGAAGAGTGCAAAAGCGCTGATGGTCACAAGGCTGAAGCGCCTTGGTGAACACATCAGCAGTGTTGGCCTCAGAGGCCACGTAACGCAGGCGAAGCTGACCACGCTGCTGCAGCTCTCGGGCAAGGAAGTAACGCAGAGCAATGTGCTTCGTTCTGTGCTCTAGTCTGTGCTCCTCACACAAGGCAATGGCTGCCTTGTTGTCGACGTACAGCACTGGAGGAGAACGAGGCTGCTCTCCAAGGTCGGTCAGCAAGTAGGTGAGCCAGCGTAGCTCCTGAGCCGCCATGGCTGTGGCGTAGATCTCAGCCTCACAACTGGAGCTGAGAACAGAGGAAGAGCGAGTAGAGCGCCAAGAAACAGAACCAGAGCCAAGACTGAAGGAGTAACCCTGAGACGACCGCTGAGTAGCCTGGTCGTCTGCCCAAGAAGCATCTGAGTACCCAGTGAGAACAACTGGGACTCGCCCTCCAAGCACTAGCCCCATGCCCGACGTACTGCACAAGTAGCGCAACACCCTCTTAGCTGCATCCATGTGCTCCTTCCGGTGACGGCCGGGAGCGACATAGCGTGCAAGAATGCTGAGAGGGTATGCAAGGTCTGGTCGAGTGCAGGTCATCAGGTACATGAGGCAACCCACAAGCTCTGGATACGGGCCACTCGGCTCTACGGACTCATCCGAAGGCAGAGCTGAGAGCGAGTGACCGGTAGGCAGAGGAGTGGGCTGAGGCGAGGAGTACGTGAAGCGGAAGCGCTGAAGGACCTGCTGCACCATGTGTGACTGAGTCAAGGTGATGGTGCGGCGTGCTCTGTCCCGGGAGATCCGCAAGCCAAGATAGCTTGTCAGTTCACCCAGGTCTGTGCACGTGTGTCTCTTCTGCAGCTCCGACTTCACGTGGGCGAGTGCCACAGTGTCAGCAGTAGCAAAGACCAAGTCGTCGACGTACACAAGGACGTAGAACGGCGGCAGTGAGGTGTCGGTGCGTAGAAACAACGACGGGTCAGCAGTAGAAGGTGCGAACCCAAGAGCCGCAAGCGTAGTCCTCAGTGTGTCGTGCCACTCACGAGGCGCCTGGCGGAGACCGTAGACTGGCCGTCGGAGGCTCCACTAGGTACCAGGAGGGAACGACCCAGTGAAGCCAGGTGGACGGCGCAGCCAGATCTCCTCGTGCAGGCTGCCCTGCAGGAAAGCAGTGCTGAAGTCAAGCGAGTGGAGCTCGTAGTCACGCTGAGCGGCGACGTGCAGCAGAACCCGAAGAGTGGTCATCTTCGGGGTCGGGGAGAAGGTCTGAAAGTAGTCAACTCTCTCTCGCTGACTGAAGCCTCGTGCAACGTAACGCGCCTTGAAGACAGGCGGAGAGCCCGGCGGCCGCTTCACCCTGAAAATCCACATGCTACTGACGATGTTCGCCCCAGGTGGGGGAACCTCGTCGACGTAGGTGCCAGTGGACTTCCAGGAAGCCATCTCTGTGTCCATGGCTGACTGCCACTGAGAGGAGTAGGGACCAGCCATCGCCTCTGCGTAAGAGCGTGGGGTCGGGATGTCTGGTGCATCCGGGTCTCCCTCAGGGGCAACAAGCATGGACACGAGATGGGGCAAAGCGGCAGCAAAGCACTCAAACTCCTCCTGCCTGTCCTCAAGGACGTCAGTGCCAAGAGCACACTCACCCCCGACGGACGGAGGACAGACAGACTCAGACTCAGCAACTAGGCTAGCAGCGTAGTCTAGACGACAGCGAGCAGCAAAGTCGACAAGCTCAGCAACTAAGGCGGACGCAGCAGCAGACTCAAAGGAAGGGTCAGTGACAACAGTAGCCAGGAGACGCGTGACAGTAGGACTAGCAGTACGAAGAGAGTCTGACTCAGGGTCAGCAAGAGCAGGAAGAGAAGAAGTAGGAGGAGACG